CTCATGCCGTGCTAAAGCTGAGTAACTTTTTTTATGCCTTTTCTGCTTAAGAATGTGTCATCGAAGGTGCAACCCTTGACCCCTTTGCGGGTAAGGACAAACTAAATTAGTGGACCACACTAGAGCTTGGGGCGCATTAACAATAATTTTTCGTAGGTTTTATGCTAAGTTGTCTTACTATTTCTTTTTCTTTCTATCTTTATATTGGGCGGCGATGAAATTGGTTCAAACCGATTTGCAAGTCAAATAATGAAAGAGTTTTTAAGTGATTATTTAGTGTTATATATAGAAAGTAATATTTAGTATTATTTCTAGTAAGTATATTCTGAATATATTTCAAAAAAATTAAAATCTGTCGAGGGGGTTGTAGTTACATACTTGATTAATTTTTTTAATAAAATTCGAATTTATTATTTTAATGTGTATTGTTATACTGATATGTATTTTATTTGTTCATTTCTTTAAATATCGACACCGTTTACGAAAAATCCTCTGCATTGGTGGGTATACAAACTCAATATATCCTTGAAGTAGGCCACAGTAACAGCGCCAAATCATGGCTCGGTCCAAGTCAAGTCAACCCAGATTTTTATAGACACATCTATTTCGTGAGCTAAGAAGTTGATATATATATATTTCTAAACATTATTTCATGGCAAATAATAATGGTTTTTTTCTTTTCTTTTATATTCTTTTCATTTGTTGAAAGGCAAATGAGAGGAAACGACTTGAAAGGGAAAAACAGAAATGATTTAATTATATACATCGACTTTGCAGATGAATTTTGCACAATCAGTGCAATTTAACCTCTTGATGAGAATGTTATTTGTCTTATTTTCTACAATACTAGCTCCGCCCATTTTAAGTAGTTACATTTAATCACTTAAAAAGTGATGTCCTAATAGTTTATATAAACTATCCGTGTGCAAAAGTTAAACCGAGACAGAAACAAGAGAACTAAGAGCTAATATAGTTCTCTTTTAGCAAAATATTGATCTATATATGTTGGAATGTACACTGCCACCATTCTGGTTCAGGCACCCTTTTCACAAAGAGATACTTAGAACTTTATTATACGAGGTTAATGTGCAGACAAATGCTACCAGGTTCAAACTTAGGTACCATTTCACAAAAATACAACGAAAAAGCTTTATATACTTTTTCTGCACTAGAAACATCAAAAGTGAAAAGTGGAAGAACATTAGGAGACTTTTCTAAATTCTGGAGAAAAATATATAGATGACGCAAAGTCACGATCTAGTATTAAAATATATAATAAGAGATAGTGTAGCCAAATCATAGTGGTGGTACTGGAGGGAGAAACAAAGGGAAAAAGGACCACCATGAATTGTCATTCGTCGGATATGAAGACAGAAAAACCATACAAAGGATTTGGCCCAGGCACTTTGATATTCTTTGTTCTCCCTTTCTTGGTTAATTGGCAAAGGAAACCACTTGATCTGTACCTTCTTGTTTCTTTCCAAATTCCAACCACCAATCATACACTATCTGTTACTTTCTCTTGAGATAGAATGGGGTTGTTAGGTTGGTAGAAAACAATTTAACCCATTATGTTTTTACCCTTCCTATTATCTCTTTGAAGATATTTTTAATTCTGTTTTACATTATGGCCACAAACTGGTCAATTTTAAGTCAGAGACGAGTAGAGAGAGACTATAAACGAGCCCCATGAATAAGTGACGAGCCCCGGCCCGTTACAAAACAAAGCGATCTTATCTCTTTAATAATGATCATACAACTATGTGAATATTATTATATCATTGGTCGATATATAGACTACAGACGTGGAGAGTTCAACAAAACTCACAACCTCTAACTTGGATTATGTGTATCTATGTGTTTGGAAAAGAATGAGCACAATTATATTAAAAGTTAAATTTACTAAAATTTGAATTTGTTATCGCATTACATGGTCGACTACCAGATCCCACTTGTGAGAATATATTGGATATATTGTTGTTGTATTACATTGTCGACTAATCCATTGAAGAATATTCTTCTTGAGTACGACATGCACAAATATATGGACGCATTAACAGTACTCAAAACTTGTTATCATCGTCTTTGTCAAAAGTCAAGATAGTATATAGCATTACTATATGGAACGAGTAATTTGAAACACAGGCATGAGGCTCACTAGCGCATGAGTGATGATTGCAAAGAAGCCCATGTATTACTGTACGTTTCAACTACTTATAATAAGAACTTCATTTTTGTCAAAAGAAAGCTACTCGGTATCATTGAAACAATTGATTAACTATCACAAGCGCTTCATTTTATAGGCTCCGATCTATCTTATTTTTCTTCTTGACTGGGACTAAACAACTAATGCATTATATATAGAATGTTTTGACCAGCATTTGTCACTATATATTTGGTCAAAACGTAATCTTTAAGTTAATAGGATCAGGCCAATGACTTCGTATTAATTACTGCATGCTTTCTTGATTCTCACGTTTCGACAGGTCTTTAGGTTCAATTTCTCTTGAATGTTCTGAGGAGTCTACTGTTTTAGGGTGATTACCTAAGAATATTATAGATGTCCTTTCATATAGAAAGACATCTAGATTTTTCGCTTAAAATGATAAAATGCATATTAAAAATTCTATGTTACTACATTTTATTTAACAAATGATATAATGGTAGATGTGTGGTTTTGGTTCATGAACCAAAATTATTAAAGGCCACGTTGTAGGAACTTTTAGCTAATTAATGACGCATTCTCAGTAAAAATGCCACAAGATAAATTTGTTTAGTCTCGAAACATTACCTTCAAAGAATAATATTTTCCAAAATAAAAAGATATGGGCAAGAGAGAAGAAGAGAATTTTATATTGACTTTTGTTCCTTTTAGGGGAAGCAAAAATGGTATTAAATCAGATAAGCTGCTGAGTGAAAAAAGAAATAAAGCTGATTATTTTTTCCAACAAAGAAATAAAGCTGACTAAGACAAAAACCAGTGTCTCATATTGCACGAGCAAAGATGTTTAAAGGAGAAAAGAAAATATTTTTTATTCACTTTTCTCTCTTATACCACCAGAATTTTAAATAAAAATAGATAAAGAAACGTTTTCACACTCGACAAGCACTTATGAGGGGCGTTAGGGTGTGGTGCATGCTTATGGTGTGAATGTTCCTGAGGGTCCCACACTCATGAAAAAACTCACCCCCACGGAATTCCACGCCTTGAGTTTTTGTTTTGTTTGGTGAGCCATGCCAAACATCCCCTTCCGAATCAATCAATTTTCTCCCCCTTTTACCCAGCTTCATACCTATCACGTGCTCTTCAATCCCCAAGGTCAATAAGCGTTTTGACGTTATATTCGAGGGTGTGGGAAAAAAAAAAAAGCTTTTGAAACTCCTTTTTGTAACTTTTGACATTAACATTATTTCTTCTATTATTTTGATTTATAAAAGAATAAAATATTTTTTTTATTAAATTTTTATAATCACACAAATATTATAGCATATTTAAAATCATAAATTTTAAAGTCTTTTAATTAAATTTTGTGTCGAGTAAGCTATGACAATTGAAACAAAGGGACTATCTTTCTTAAAAAATATTTTACTTTACTCATATATAAAAGAGTTTATGGAAAAGAGCATAGATAACCAAATTTTTATACATGAAATAGATTCAGATTTGTTGTTTTCGAATATTAATACCGTTGTACCAATATTTTAACGTGGCATCGTACTGTTATACTAATATATTATCCCGTGACATCATAATTGAATTCTTTTGGATGAAGAATCTATATTGATTTCTCATTCAGTATTCAATATTCATATTGCGCATAAATTAACATGCATTTGCACACTTAAATACTTTTAATGAATGATAAAAGAAACGTAGTATTCATTCACTGTTAAATTTTGATGGTTAAATAAGGGGGAAAAAATATAGGTGGCGTCCCAATTAAAGTGATTGCAAAGAAGCAGGTAGAAGTTGGCGCGTGAGTTGAGTTAGTGGATAGCGGTAAAAGCTTTGGCAGCAGAATGACGTAAAGCATGTGTTTACGTGGGAGAATAGCAATACCTTCTCATACTTCACATCATCACTTCCTTAAAACAGTAGTATGCACAACAGCTGCTCCTTAAATTCTTCGTACCGTATCTCCTCCCATTATTATATAATTAAGAAGTTTAAAATCAATTATTGTAACTTAAGAATTAAATAATTATATACTAAGAAAATTAGACAACAGAAAAAGCTTCAAATTCTTTTTCTATAAACTTTCGACCTTACTTAACTTTGCTCTTCATTATTGACTACAAAATATGTTTACTAGTATATATTTATCTTCATATTTACCATTTTTCTCAATCTCACAAAACGGATTGAGAAGTTTAAAATAGCTTGTTTAACAACTATATGTGTTTAAATAAAAGACAAACAAGTACTCATCATAAAATGCTCACATGAATGGCAGAAATTGTAGTGAATACGAATTTCCCCTCTTACCAAAAAATATATATATGTATTTATTAGGTTATTCTGTCTAATTTTTATGAATATATTATCCCCGTGGCATCATATGTGATACATATAACGACGAGAGTATATTTTAGGTCAATTTTCAACGAGAATAAAGTTAAGCAAAAGTTAAAAGTTTAGAAAAACAACCATCGATAATGCACTGGATGAGACTGCTCCTTACTTAATCAGAAGTTTTGGGTTCGAGCCCTCTAAAAAATTTTGGTAGGAAGCGCTTCCCCCTGAATGGGGCTCTACGCGGTACAAATAAGGATATAGTCGGATTCTAATACGAATAACGAATAGCGGGAGAGAAACCACAAAAGGTTTAGAAATAATTGTGTAGTTTCCTCATTTTTCTTAGAATTGAATTAATTAATTCCAAAATATATTTATAATTTTATTATATGGAAGATACGTTACGAATATTTGGGGCGCGGGGGTGGGGGGTGGGGGGCTCTGTTCCTAAGGCGAGTGTGGCTATAAAGAGATCTATTGTGCTGCGTTATCTCCCTTGCTCTGTTCACTTTCCACTACTATTTCTTCTCCACAAAAACAATAGAGAGAGAGAGAGAGAGATACTCAAAACAGAAGCTTTTAGTAGAATATTGAGAGAGATGGGAAATTGCCAAGCCATTGATAATGCAACACTGCTTATACAACACCCTAGTGGCAGAGTTGACAAACTCTATTGGCCAGTACCTGCTAACCAAATCATGAAAATGAATCCAGGCCATTATGTTGCTCTTCTTCTTACCACTACCACCTTGTGTCCGCCCACTAACCCCACCGCGACAGCCACCGCAAACAGAAATAGCAGTGCAGGCAAAAATACTGGTAACATGCCAGTTCGTATAACGCGGATTAAGCTTCTCAAGCCGACGGATACACTTGTTCTTGGTCATGTTTACAGACTAATTACTACTCAAGGTTGGTTCTTTCTTTTCTTTTATGGTTAATTAAGTGCTGAAGTACTACTTTTGATTCCTTAAAATTACTGATCAGTTTATAATCTTTGTGTGTTGCGTATGCAGAGGTGATGAAAGGGTTATGGGCTAAGAAGTATGCCAAGAAGCAGCAGCTACACTCCGGGGAGAAACAAGATAAGTCAACTCATGAGAAAATTTCAACTTCACAGTCCAGGAATGGTCAAAGAAGATCTGAAGTGGACAACTCCAAACAGGTGATTTTCCTTTTTTCAAACTTCATGCCTATCCAGTTTCTCATATTTTTCCCATGGCTAACTATGAAGAACTTAAAAAAAATTGTAAAAATAAGAAGGAAAGGAACGTTTGTGTACAAAATTATCTGAGTCAATACTCATTCAGAATAGAGCCGAAGAAGATAGGATAAAGGTGATGATTCTTTTTTTGTTTCTTTCCGAGTTTCAAAAATACTTGTTTCTCTTTCATCTTTTGAAATGATAAAAATAGAAGGAAAAAATTAGCGTCATCAATTAACAACATTTTGGAATTTTACTTATATACTACCTACCATCAATTAACAACAGTTTTCATAAAATATCACTACAGAATTTTCTTTCTTTAATTATATAATAATAATTGTAAAATTATTCAGGTGAAGCAAGAAAAGCATCGGAGCTCCACAGGTGCAAAACCCAAAACATGGCATCCCAAACTTCACAGCATATCTGAGTCTACAAACTGAGACTTTGATTCTTCTATTGGATTTGTGTATGAGATTCTGGACTAGAAGAAGGAGAAACCATATTTCCACCAGAGAAATAGAAAAAGGAAATAAAAAAAAAAAAAAAGATGGCTGGAGATGGGTAGTTTTTCGTCATAAAATTAGAGCTAGCTAGCAGTCTAGCTATGCAGAATTAATCACATGTACAGCAGATATGAGAAAGGAACCCAAAAAAAAAAGAAATTCACATGGCTTACCTTTGTAATCATTTGGATGCCTTCTTTTATTGAAAAGAATTGTAGGCTTTGTTGGAATCACCAAATTTTGTTACTTTGTCTGGACTCTAATAGACTTCGAACGTTGAATGAAATTAAAATGGTCAAATTTGTTCATGTACTATTTAAAATCGATTATCTCTCTAGTATAATATTATCCTCTCGCACCCTTGAGGAGAACTCTTTTGCCCTTAACCCTTATTGGGGAGTTAATTCTAACCTATAGTCAAAAATTGAAAATTTGTTTTTCGAAAATTTCAGACTAATGAAGTTTATGGTGATTTTTTTGGGGGTGAAATTCAAATCAACTAGAAATAGTAGTCTCTCCCCCCCACCCCACTTATGAGCTTAGCTTAATTATATATAAAGCCCAGATAAAATAAAAAAGAGAAAAAGATATTCCAAAAATTTACCCAACAATCATAGAAGTGATATAGTTTTAGTAGTGATCATGAGTGCGTCAATGCTTTTAAATCCAACTTAACTTTTGTAGCAAAAAGGGAAAGCCAGTGGAGAGGAAATGAGAGAGACGGAACAAAGAGAGCAAATGGAAAATGTAAAGATATTTGAGAGTGAAAAAACACCTCAAATGACAAAAGGAAACAAACGCGAAAGCAAGCCAAAAAGCGCCATATGCATGCGTGCATTATTATTTGGTAGGATATGCGTACCTTCATATATTCCTAATACCTTTTGATTTGCCAAATAAAAATGGGGCCTCACCCTCCTTAATAACCTAGCTAGCTAATCATTTTTTGTTTTTTATTCGGCTCATATTAGGGTCCGAACTAATCCTGATTCATTCGTATTGTATAAGATCCATTAAAGAGAAACGTTCTCTATTAAATTTTTTTTTTCTTAAGATTCGAATTCGAGATCTTGATCAGAAGGATAAGATCCATCCCACAAAAAACCGGTGAACCTAGCTAGTCAAACGTCAATAAATCCATCATTCATCAGAAACAAACACATACCCCATGAAATTCTATCTAATCATTCCTAGTTCCTACCTAGATTAATCAAACTCTAGATGTGGCACCCTACTAATATGCCATTCTTCTCTAGCTTCTCATGGGATAAATCACGTAGTAATAGTTTGATAATGAAGCTATAACAATGATTTCTAAGTTGAATTATCACACATTTAATTAGCGTCCCATTAATTTCTCTTTTAGATTTTCTTTCTTTTATATTCCTTTTTCTAATTCATTTTCTTTTCTGAGGTGTGGGTAGCTACAAATACGAATCAAATACAAAAGATTTTATTTTATATTTACCGAAAGTGTAAATAAATATTTGTACGATTAGTGCAATTTAACCATGTTGTTTGCTTTAGTTTTCAGGCTGCTCATCCCACTTATCATAGATAGTTATCTCTAATAATTTTAAAAGTAACATGAATATTAACTTTTAGTGGTTTGAGCTGGATAATGCTTTTTCGGTGAATTAACATAAGCTGATATGAAATTAGCTATGACCTATGACATTATTAACGTGCTATTTTTTATATGTTCCACACTTTTAAATTTAATTATTCATGGTTGTGACACTGACAGTGAAGACAGGATGATATGGGAAAAGAAAGTCTATATATGAAAGGATACACAAATTTGGGATATTCCAAATATAAATCAATTCTCTAACGGGATAATTCATTATTCCTAGTTCCCATAATTATTTGATTAAGCAAAGATCTAAAAGAGATTTGGATAATTCCTTCACACGACTTATGATTTCTTTTCAAAGAATGAGCATCAGATGTTATGATACATTCACGTATTTGACACATTAAACAAAACGATAAGAACAACCCCATCTTCCCATGGTGAGACCCATTTCCACAAACTTAATAATCACTATCTTAAGAAAGTAATAGCATCAATAGTTTTAAAAAACGATGCTTTTACCTATAAATCCACAGGCAGAGCATCTCACTAAAATTAATTTAGGATCCACTAAGAAAAGAGTCCCTAATCCAACGTTGTAAAAATTAATGGATAATATGCACACCTGGAATGAAATCTCAGGCCAATTCCTTTTATATTGAAGCTGGAGTCACAGAGATATAGTAGATATGCCCTAGATCCAATCTCATATTTGATGATTTGAACATATTTTTGTGAACATTATTCGATATAAAAATATATGACATTCTTTTATCATAGTTATTATTAATTGTTTGATTAATTTGATAAGGTCCTTGATTAAATTTTGAGGCTTGTAATCGTGATAGAGATCATGATAATGAGAGCAAAGTCTCTTACAATTTAATCTAAATTTGTTCTTGATCGTAGGATTATTAATTTGGACATTAGTAATCCGGTTAGATCAATATTTATGTGATCGTCTTTATGGGATAAAGATTAGTTGATCTCATTAACTAAATCACATAGATAGATGATGCATATAGAGATATGATCATTGAACCGACTCATTGGATAATTCCTAATGGTTAGAATTACCATAAACTGTCAATAGGATATTCTCTTGAAGAATGTGATGTAAGAGTTTCCTTTGACCTGAGATCGTCATAGTAATTGACAAGTTATTTATTGTGCTTTGATACTAGACACCTATGGCCCTAGAGCGATAGTTGAAAGGATATTGGGTACGATTAAATACTTGTAGAATTAGTGATTGATCAAGATGGAATCTGTCAACTCTTGGTAATGAGTTTAAGCTCCATGTTGTCATGAATTATAAACGACCAAATTAAGACCTTGGCCAGGGCAATTGAATGAAAGAAGAAAAGAGTTTCTTAGGTCATTCAATGGTCGATTATACTTGACATGAACACATAGTTGGTCGCCTATTAGGATTTGACAGTTGAACCATATCCTAGGGTGATCAAGAGCTATAAGGACAGAAGGAATTACTACATTATTCTTCTATTGGTTCTTGAGAGTAAATTGAATATTTCATGTTATCCGGTCATTAAGGAGTGTTGTTAGACGTCACCCTTGATTAGTATTTTGATGTGGTCAATTTACTACCGGTTTAGTATTGAACCTATGGGGTCGCACACTAACGAGTGTTCTGATCTTTGCTATAGGATTAATTTCTTTATTATTTGTTAATAAATTAAGGAATTTAATTAGTCAAATAGATTCAGTTATTAGTCAAAATAAAATATTATTATATTCTTTGCTAGCACAGAGGATATAATTAATACTGTGAACAAATTGAAGTTTTCTATTTGGAATAGAAAAATTAAATTACTTCTCTGAGTTGAAATATATATGTGATATATATAATATAAGTTATTATTGATTTATATAAATGTTATACATAATATTAATTTATTCTCCAATTTGGAATTGGAATTGTAAAGACGTGAAAGTCCAATTGGACTAAGTAGCGTTCGGCACTTCAATCCCTTTGAGAATGGGATTCGAATTTTTATAGAAAATTCCATCAAATTTATTTTTGGGATAAATATTTACCCAAATTAAATCATTACCTCAACCAAACAGGAAAAAAGTTTATAGGTGATGTTATATAAAGGGTGATGAAAGAAAATTTGCCACATTAATTCTTGAGAAGAAAAATCACTTTGTGAAAGTAAGAGTGCAACACAAGCCAAGAGAGAAAATACAATTACAAGAAAAATGTTTCTTGTTCTTCTTATAACATTGAGTTGAGATTTTTAAGAAAAATTTCAACACAATAATTCGTTCAATTTTGTTCACGGGTTTCATTGATCAAAGAGTTGATAGCAAGGATCGGTCTCGGTGTGGATACGCATAGAGTCTTCACACTATCGAAGAATTTGAAACGAAACTTTCTTCACCAGGTACGCCTAAGATCCAATCTTTGACACGTAAATGAATTTTAAACACGAAAAGATCTTTCTAGGATTGTTATTGTCTTCCGTTGCGTGTTACGAACACCTATACGCAATCCTTCAGTTGTATCAGAGCCGTGGTTTATTGTGTCTAAAATTTATTTAAGAAATATTTTAATATTATATTTGAAGAGTTCAAATCATAATACATGTGTATTGTGCAATAGTCAAATCGTTTGAATATTGATATTTTTTTATTGTGAATAAAATATGTATTCATATAACTATTGAGATAGTTCAAAACTTGAATTTGAAATTTTGTATTAGATACGACGGGAATCTATAATATGTTACATGATTCTATTGTTATTTTTAATTGTTATTAGTTCATGAGATGTTAATTAATAATAGTTTTCTGGCATGAATTATTTTTATGTGATATATAAGATAAACATGTTAGAAGATGTTAAATTTCATTTTTGTATCACATGCTTGTTCGTTACATAATTTTGAATTATTTATTACATGTGATGTAAATCAATCCAGGACTAAGTATGTAGACAACTTGAACTAAATTCGCATGCTGTAAAAGATTTGATCTTCATGTTAGTAAAAGTTGTTTTAGTAACAATTCCCTCTTACTAAAATTTGGGTTCTTAAATAATAAAATATAAGATATTTTATTATAGAGTTATCCATCAAGGTAAATAATATTACTTATTTCTTGTTTATAAGGAGCGGCCTGACTACCAGGAGACTTATAGTTCGAGAATATGTTAAAATTATTTATTGCATTAGATGTATGGATTGAAAGAATTATTCAATTTTACACTAGACGCCTGGACCACCCGGGGGAGTATAAAATTTAATAAGTTCTTTGCTATCATGATGGTTGAACTCAACTATGCCAATAGGATCGACCTGACTACCAGGGGACTATTTGACATAGAGCTATTTAAGGAAATTGTATGGGGATACAATTGGTAAGAGTACCTACCTTTAAAATATATGTGAGAAACGACTTGACTTCCAAGGGGCTCATACATATTGTTAAAGGATTCCTTTACTCCACTAATAGAAATAAAGATTTCGTAAACTATAATGAGGGTAAATAGTCAAAAATAATTAGTGGAAATATCATTTAGATAAAAGTCCATGTCTTTATGATATATGCAAATATGTTCTTATATTATTGCCTTTTCTTTTCTATATTTTAGATTTCTCAATATGTCTGTTATATCACTGCGCGAAATACTTGAGACCAACAAGTTGGTAGGACCAAACTTTGATGACTGGTATAGAAATTTGAGA